TAATTTTGTTTTTTTTCCGTTTGTAATTTATAATCATTCCTATTCATCATTCATATATATATATATATATATATATATTCTTAATCAGCGTCTGTCCGTCCGTCTGTCTATTGTAAACACTCTAGCCTCTAAACGAATTGAGATAAATCGCCAAAATCCTGCATAGAGTCTTTTGTCTGCAGGCAGGTCAAGTTCGAAGATGGGCTATATCGCTATCCCCCCTATTTTCGGTATTTTGGGGTTCTTGAGCGGGGTTTTCAACTTGAAACTGGAAATTTTGTAAAATGGGTTCTTATTAAATATTAAATTTCCCCGCTAAAAATTATAAATATAGGTCTATTTTTCTGGTAGCACTTTATGACGTCACCCTAAATTTCAGTAATTTGATTTATTATTGGGTAGCAAATGTCTCCACAAAAAATTATAGATATATTTTCGGGAAGTCCCATTATTATATTATAACCATTTTAGGGGTAGTCCCCATATAACCCACTTTTCGTATTGAAATAGTTATCCAATTTGTTCCGTGTGTTGGGGTTGTCCCCATATAGGCATATTCTGTCTACAAAGTTTGGAATTCTACGACGATTTAGCCATATGTTGTAATCATTCCGCCTTCTAATGATATCGTAATAAAAAAAACTCTAACCTGACGATGATAAAATATATCGGTCAGCATGTAGGCATATCCCTCATATAATGGTACCTTCTGGAGGAAAAAATTGAGATACAAAACTAAAATATTGGGTTAGAAAATGAGCTCTATCTCTCATAAATTAGGCATATTATGTTAACCCCAAATATTCGCTAATTCCTACACTATGTAATCAATATTGGCCCCCCTTTAGGCATAGCCTCATAAAATTTGGCACTCCAAATTGCAGTAGTTTGTGGATTTTATACACATGTTCCCCTCTACCATATTTTATTGGGTGTACATAATAATTTACATAAATCGGTTTGTAGAAATATCGGTATAGCCCTATATTTTCATTTCAAGTACATTTCAGTATACTTATGGAAGAGGGTATCCAAAATTCGGCCTGGCCAAACTTAACGCATTTTTCACTTGTTTCAATTTGTTTTGAATATTCTTATAATATTCGATATGATGTCAGATATTCTGTCGCTTATTAATTCATATTATCTTATTATTCTGAAAATTAATTGCGTTAATGAAATTAGAGTTTATAATCAACTTTTTTGGGTTTATTAATTGGCATAATTCTGGTTTCGGTTACTTCAGTTAAACATACAAATAAACCGTTCTTGTATTTGAAACAAAAAAGTCCAAAGAAATATGTCGACTGATTATCTTAAATTATTTTAAGAAATTATTCTGCAAGCCAACAAGTTTGATATCTGCGGCAATATTTTTAATCAGATTTTTGGAAAGAAATTTGTCTATAAATATGCATACTGTTGTTATTGTGATTTCAGTACAAGTTGTTCATATCATCGTGCAAATTGTCGGATTTATAAAATGGTTAGTGAAAGTTTTGTAATTAATATTAAATATAATTAATAATTTGGAGTGAAATTAGAAGTCTATAAAAATATATGTCAATAAAAATATTTACTTCCATTGCAGTTACTGTTTTGGTGTATTGTAAAATGTAAACTATTGTTGAATTGTGTCACAAAGTTAGAAAAAAAATTTAATAAAATTATTTGCTTTGGCAATAATTTTGAACAATATAAATGAGAAAGTATTTACAAAAATATAAATGTATAACAAATTGGAGCAAATTGTTTAAATCTGGCAGTGTTAGAGTAACTTCGGGTAATTTGGACTATGCGTCTAATGTGGACCACCCCCCATATATCTCTTTAACAAAAATATACGTTTAATTGTAATTACAATCGATGATTTTAAATTTCGTTGTTTCATACCCCGAAATAATCACCAGAGACTCCACAAAGTATATACACGTCTCCGTAGCCCCCGTATAACGGTAGCTACCCATGTTCGGTATTTTCTAGATTTTGGACACGTTTTCCAAAAGAATTCGCTGTAAGGTGGTATTTTGGGATCTCATTGAATAACACATATCCACATCAAAAATTATTTATATTGATTCAAGGTTCAAGTTATCCCCTATGTAACGGCACCCACCAATATTCGGAATTTTCTGGATTTTGGACAAGTTTTCCAAACTAATTGGCTGTAATTTAGTAATTTAGGCTCTTATTGTAGTTCATGGCCAAAAATTATTATATCCTACAAAACTATGTTGTCAGGGTATTATAGTTTTGTGCAGCCTCATGAGTTTGTAACGCCGCGAAATATTGGTCCAAGACACACCTTTAAATATACCGATCATCAAAAAAAAAAAAAATATCTCGAGTCGATCTAGGCATGTGTGCTCATTCGTTTGTCCGGGTCAAATTGACCCTGACTTTAGTGAGAAAAATAAAAAAATAGTTTTCTATGGCGAATATATTTACTTCTGAAGGACATAGACCCGAGAAGTTGATAGTAGGGGAGACTGGGGCACCTTCGGCAATCGCGTTTTCGATATGAAGCTCTCACCGTACATCACTAGTTTCGATATATAGGTATCGAGTATCGAAATAAATAACTGACACAAAGTTTGAAATTTCTAGCTAATAAGCATATTTAGATACATGGGATTTTGTATTTTTATAGCTGTTTCTGGAATATTTCAATTCCATTTCGTAAGTATTTCGTGTAAAAAACTTTTTAAATTTTTAAGACAATATTATTAAAAAGTGGTTAACTACGATGTGTATTATTATAGAAATATTTAAAAATATAATGTTTTTACAAAACTGATCGAAAACAATGAAAACAACTATAAAAAGTACATTCGGGGTACATTCGGCATCTTAAAGTGGGGCACATTCGGCCATATACAAATAGTGCAATATTATTTCCTTAAAATGTTTTTGAGTTTGTCTTTAAAAATAATCCTTTAATATGGTTCGAAATTACATATATAAGACTAAACGTGCTTGTATTAACGAAAATGCGATAGAAAACCCCTATTTCTGATAATGTGTGCGATTTCGAGATTTCAACGTCCGCCGCTAGAAAATATAGCCCTTAAATTCAAACATTGTGTCGCGTATTAAAACCAAATAGAGCCTTTAGAGGATCAGAATTTCAACCAGACTGATAGCGATGACAATTACCCGGCTATGACTATGGTGCCGAATGTGCTCCATTAAATGCCGAAGCTACCCCGGGTTGGGGCACATTCGGCGAATTTGACTTTTTTTACAAAACTGTAAAATTTTTTAACTAATACTATTTTTTTATATCTCTTTGGTACAATTTTTTAGAATTAAGTGTCAGAGGACAATAATCAGCCATAAAGTTGTTATATATGTTGAATGAGTACTGAGATATAGAGCTCTAAAAAAAGTGCCGAAGGTGCCCCAGTCTCCCTTATATCGAGGAGGATTGGTTGGCCGTTAAATTGATATCCAATATACTGTCGTATGTAGTCGGATGTGGGAATCGGAATTGGAAGGTACTTACGCAACAACCCACGGTGAAGGGAAACTGGAATCAGAGTAACCCCTGTTTTTTGTCACTATTAACTAATTTTATATATCATCTCCAGACAGGAATTAATAACGCCATTATAGAAAATTTTAGTCCTTAATTTTGAAACTCGTTTAATTCCATATTTCTAATATTGAGATAATTAAAGCTGTGGGTTTTGTATTTATACCCTTCACCACACTGTGGTATAGGGTATTATGTCTTTGTGCATATGTTTGTAACAGGCAAAAGGAATCGAGATAGGCCAATGGTTCCTTTTGAGAATATGCATAGAATCACTTTCTGAGTCGATTTATGCATGTCCGTCCGTCTGTCTGTCCGTCCGTCTGTTGATGCTAAATTGTAAACAAAGTACAGGTAGGATTTATAATCCGATTTGGATAAAATTTGGCACAGCTCATTTATTTGGCCCAAGGACGAACCCTATTGAAATTGGGAAAAATCGGTTCAAATTTAGATATAGCTCCCATAAATATTTTCGTCCGATTTAATGTAAATTCCGCACCAAAGTACCTATATATGTTTCGATTTGCACGAAATTTGGTATAGCCTACTGAATTACGTGTAGAATTATGTGCGCCAAGTTTCGTGAAAATCGGTCAAATTTAGATATAGCTCCCATATATAGTTTCGCCCGATTTTAGATAAATGGTGCACCAAAGTCCCTGAAAATCATTCGATTTGTACGAAATTTAATATAGCATACTAAATTAAGTTTCGATGTGTGGTTAAGTTTCGTGAAAATCCGTTCAGATTAAGATATAGCTCCCATATATAGTTTGGCCCGATTTTAAGTAAATAGTCCACCAAAGTCCCTGGAAATCTTTTCATTTGCCCGAATTTTGGCATAGCGTACTGAATTAAGTCTAGAATGACGTATGCTAAGTTTCGTGAAAAATCCATAGCTAGGCCGATTGACACAACGTACTGAAGTAATTAGTCTCTGGCAAGTTTCCCTGAAATCGGTTCAGATATAGATATATAACAAACACGCGACGTCTGTTAGGATACATATGTAGAATATACCCAAAGTGGTGAAGGGTATCATATAGTCGGACCAGTCCGACTTTACTACTTTCCTTACTGGTTTTTTTAATAATATATTGTTTAGTGGTATTAATTTTGTTTGTGGCGTTGTGCCCTTAAAAAAATATAGCGTAGTATATTTTGTAATTTTTTTAGGAAACCAAGATTTGTATGATAACCTAAAATAATTATTTTTAAAATTTTTTGTTCGTATCCTTATCGTGTGCATTTTGAAGCTTGCTAGGTAACCAAGATATGTATGATAACCTAAAAGGACTTTAAACACTTTGAAAATAAACGACTCATTTAATTTTTTTTCGTATCATTATCGTTTGCATTTTAAAGCTTGCTTCAAATGCAGTGTATATTATATGGTGCAATTTTAATAATTGTAATTTAAAATAATTCCCACAATACTAATATGTGTTTTATTTACTTTCAGAAACTTTTTATCACCACCTTTGTGGCTGTAGTGGCCATAGCCGCAGCTGATGTTAGTCATTTGAAAAATACATATTTGCCGCCGAGCAAAGGACATACTCATCATAATGCAGGATCATCGGGCAGTCATTCCTCACCTGTAGCATCATATAGCTCTAGCAGCTATTCTGCTCCAGCCGCTTCGTTTAGCTTTTCGACCCCCGCTGCTGCTTCACCATCCAGGCAATATTTGGCTCCAGCTGCTTCAAAGTCCTCATTTACTTATTCAGCACCAGCTGCATCGTTTAGTTCCAGCAGTTATTCTCCATCTCCATCCGTTTTATTTAGTCATTCTGCTCCAGCTGTTGCTGCTTCTGCTCCTTCTAAGCAATATTTGGCTCCAGCTGCATCCACCTCTTCATTTAAATATTCTGCTCCAGCTGCATCGTTTAGTTCCCGTAGCTATTCTTCTCCAGCTACCTCGTTTAGCTCCTTTGCATCCGCTCCAGCTAAGAAATATTCTGCACCATCTGCATCGTTTAGTTCCAGCAGCTTTTCTTCGCCAGCCGTCTCGTTTAGTTCTGCTCCAGCCAAAAAATACTCCTCCTCAGCTTTTATCTCGTCTTCAGCCTCAAAGCCTTCGAATCAATATTTGGCACCAGCCGCATCAACCACATTCTCTGCTAAATCCGCTCCCTCTCATAGCAGCTTTAGTTATTCTGCTCCATCGACAACTTATAGCTCTCAGAACTCTGCTCCTGCTGTTGCCTCAGCACCAGCCTCCTTTTCATATAGTGAAAAATCGAGTTTCTCAAGTCCATCCGCTTCCAGCAATTATCCTGCTCCGACAATAATTTATGCTGCACCATCTTCGTCAACATCGGGTAGCTATACAGCTCCTTCCTCGTCTTTCTCTTCGTATACTTCTGGTAGTTACTCTGCTCCTGCTTCTTCAAATAATTACTTCGCGACCGCCGCTGCTAGCCCAGCCAAAACGTATGCCACCTACTCGTCACCAGCTTCCTCCAGCCAAGGTACCGGTACAGCTTATGCGGCCGATGGTGGTTATATTTACTAAGCTCAACTCAAATGTAAAATAAAATTGAAATAAAATCGAAAATTCATTGACATTTTTTTTAAACATTTATTTCTGTTGTGGGTTCTTCAACTTTGGATAAATACAAAATATTCTTCTTTCTTAAAATGCGATTTTTATCATTCTCTGAATTCTTAACATAGATGTGATTCGATGACACCGTATTCCAGGGTTTAAAATATTGATTGCCTGGCACCGAAGGATGAGGATAATCAATTATAAATTGATATTTTAAGGGTACACCATCGGGTTCTTTGAGAATCAGATCACTGGTTTGCACAAAAACTTTACCCTTTGCAATGGTCTCGTTTTCCTTATTTCCACCATTCTCAGGTGGTAGTCCATCGACCGTAGAATAAAATATCAGCCACGACAAGAGAATCTTTACCAACAATTTTCCCAATAAGCTATCCATATTCTAAAAGCAGATTTTTTCTTTATTATTCGGTTCATTGCATTTTAGCCAACCACTGATCTACTTACCCAAATTCGTAATGGCCTTCTGGCTGTTTGCTGTTGTCGATGTTACTTAAATGCAAATCGTAACTAAAAACTTTTAGTGAATGCACTTTCTTTTATACCGGACAGGTTCGTTATTACAACAAATAGAGATCATTGCACAGTTTTCACAGACCATTGACTTCATGATGACCACCATCGGGCCAGTGCCCTACAGACTTCATTTTGGTTACCAAAACATATAAGAGAAAGGCACAAAGAAGCTCCTATTGGGCTTTGTCAAATATCGTTACAACAATAACATCAACCACAAATTGAAACTGAAACTGCAAGGCTAACGATAAAAACTTATCCATTGTATGGTTCTCTTGTACAACATATACCACTTGAAGAAGCATGTCCAACAGTCGTCTTATATTTGTGGCCTCAATGAAGTCCAGCTTTTTTTTTGTTTTTCTTGTTTCGCTAACTTCGTGCAGAGGAAAGTGACAAAATATTTAAGATTACATTTTATTGATGCACTTTCATTGAATGTTATGTTGTAAAATGCAAATTTAACAGCTTCTTTTGTACAAAATGCAAATCTTCAACCAACAGTGATGATGGGAGCTTATATTTACGGTTTTAGAAAATGTTGAAAACAAATTGCAAAAATTGTGAGCACAATATTTAACTTCTAAATAACTGAATGCAAAATGGAACATATTTCGAAGATTTTCATTGGGCTGATAAATGAACACCCACTATTTTGTAGACTTAAAAGAGAAGAAAACTGTGTCAGTCGGAGTTGCAGATATATACCCTCAGAATATGGTTTGTAGAGGTCTTTGGAATTACATACAGATTTTATTATTAGCTTTATATAAGATATATATTTTTATCAGTGAGGTTTCGGTTTTAATGTTGATCAAATCGGTTATTAACTTCGCTTCAATTTAAATGTGTAAGTTTATAAAATATTAACCCATCTGCGGACTTCATCTAGGCTTGGTAAAGATAATAGGTTATGAAAAGTTTGGTTCAAATCGGACATTTCATTCTCCTGATATTGGATTTATAAATATTGAAAATTTATGGGGGAGATACCAGAAGGAGTCAAGCAATGGGTCCCAACTCTGGACTTTAAGTCGGCTAGACAAAGATAATTAATTGTGCAAAGTTTGGTTCAAATCGGATATTATATTCGCCTGATATTGGATTTAAAAAATATTGAAAATGTTGACCATTTGTGGGGGGAGGTTCCAGAAGGAGTCACACAATGGGTCCTATCTTCGGACTTAATCTAGACTTCGTAAAGATAATTAATTGTATAAAGTTTGGCTCAATTCGGATATTCCATACGCCTGATATTGGATTAAAAAATATTGAAATGTTGACCATTTGTGGGGGAGGTATCAGAACGAGTGAACCAATGGATCCCATCTTCGGACTTGATCTAGACTTCGTAAAGATAATTAATTGTACAAAGTTTGATTCAAATCGGCCATTCCATTCGAACTATTTTGGATTTATACATATTGATAACTTTGATTGAGGGAGGTACCAGAAGGAGAGATGCAATGGATACCATCTTCGGACTTGATCTTTTTTTTACAATTTTTACCATTTTGTGGGGGAGTTATAAGAAGTAGTGGACCGATATTCCCCATCTTCGAACTTTAACTAAGTTTGGAAGAAATATTACGATGTGCACAGTTTGAATGATATCGGTTGCTACCTTCAAGAGTTATCATGAGCATCAGGACAGACTATGGACGGACGGACATAAATTGACTCCAAATTGCCTGTCTTATAATTATTGAAGGTAACATGGACCTATAGGAGACCTCCAGACGTCTTCTTATCTAAAATTCAGAGGAAGGCCATATGAGGCCACAGATTTTCTGAGGAACATATATTCATGAAAGATCTCCTGGGAGACCTACTGCAGACATCCGGACTCTGGGCATTATATTTATAAAATATCAAATAGATTTATTGCAGAAACATGCGAGACCTATAAAATATCTCCAGACGTTCGCCTATCTAAAAAATTGCATTTAAAATTCAATGAAAGGCCATATAAAGCCGCATTCTGCGACTACATTTGTCGTTAAGGCCTCATCTGTCGTTTTCTAAAGTACTTCAGCCTGTATAAAATTGATGGGCTCTTGTATCTGCCGAAGACCACTTCTAGGCTTTCTTTTACATTTGCAAAAGTCCTTAGGTGTCACTGTTTTGTAGGTAGTTTATGGTTTGAAGACTGTAGGTAGACTATGGTTCTAGGACTACACTCCTGTATCATGAGAGTCCACTTCTTCAAGGAGGTCTTTTTTTGTGAATGTTTCTTTAGTTTGAAGACGTTGTATTGGTCAGTAAAGGCTGTTCTGACTACAGAATATATCGTATAGATTCTTCTACTAGAAAATTCTCCTGAGTAAGTTCTAACAGGCTGCTTCCTTATTCTATACACTTTTTCGAAAGATTTTTTATATCTACGATTGATAGGTTTTGATTGGGCTTCCGTAGAAGTCAAAATATATGTCTTTACAAGAGGTAAATGTTTTAACTAGAAGGATATCATTTTACTAAAAGGATTCACTCTATATCGGACCTCCAGGCGGCGTTCTTTAAGAAAACGACTTTAAAAATAAAATTGAGATAAAAATTACTCCCAGGCCAACAGAAGTTAGGAAAAATAGATCAATACGAAGACGCTGAACCTTAAGTTAAGCTTAAAATACATTCTCTTTGTCTAATAAAACTCTCTGAACATTCAGTTCGTCTCTTAAAACTCGCAGAGCCTTCAAATGGTCCATAAATATTTCCTGATCATTTAGATTGCGTATCAAATGTCTCAAGACTTCAGTTGGTATCGATAAGGACTCTCTGTACCTTCAGCTCATCTATAAAGACCCTCGAAACATAAAAGAGATACTTATTGGGATTCCATAATTTGTTCCAAAAATTTTCATGGAGCCATTAGATTGCACAGTAAATGGTCTAAACCTTTAGATATTATTCATACGTGGGTCAATATTGATAATTCTTGATACGGAGATGTGCTATACAAAATCCCAAACTAACGAATATTGGGGGCACGATAAAATGGGGCTACACCAAAACGTGAACTGGTATATTCCATTTACAATACCAAGCATCCAGCAATCTCTGCTGAAAATTTCAGAACTCTATCGTGATTTCAACAAACAGACGGACATGAGTTAATCGGCATATTCTCCGGTGAATATTTCGAGTCGTTGCAAACGGAATGACAAATTTAATATACAATCTATCTTATGGTGGAGGGTATAAAGAACGACTCAACGACCTCCGAAGAAGTTACTGGTTCCATTACTTCCTCTTCTGAAGATGCTAGTTTCTCGGCATCATCTGATTCACTAGGTACAGATTCATCAGTTGCAGAAAATATATTCACAATATTTGCCAGCTCATCTGAATAAAGATATGTGTTAGTACATCTCCTAACGAGTTCTCATCGACGGAACCCATAACATCATCTTATATCACAGCTGACAATAATTCATCAGATTTTTAGAAGCAAATTTACTGATTCAAATATCTTACAGTCCGAAATCACATCAACTGGATCGTCTTCCTCTTCCATATCGTCAAGTTAAAGTGACTCATGTTCAAATTTCTGGGAAACTGGTATACTTAGTTTTGCAGAAAATATCTATGTACTGATTAAAATATATTTTGTCCCCTTCAAAGTCCGGATTGTGTCCGCTCATACGGTTTCTATTGTAGCAGTATGTTTTGATTGTTCATTTCCGAACTATGAATTGATCTAGCACTCAAGACGGATATTTAATATTTGTATTTGCTCATGATATTGGAAACTACAAGAACATATTATGAAATTCGCTTGTTTAGCTACAGTTCATATAAATATTGATTTTTTCATACAAAAATCTGTTGAGACAATCGTTGTTATGCCAAATGATCTAATTAACAAATAAGTGTTAATTTATAATAAATCATCATCAGGTTTTATTTTCAATGAAAAACCAAATGAAACCGAAAGTTTAAAATATAAACCAATCTGTATATGCTTACAAATCTATTAATTCTAGAACGGCATTTAAATATGCTATAATGTGAATATGGAGACAAAATCTAAGAAATTAAATTTTTAAATTCATATTTTTGGAAAATACATACATATGTATTCGATTTTCTAAATAAGACAAATACTTACATACAAATTGTTCAAACAATCCTATTATTCTTCCGTTAAAGTGGCAGACTATATGGAAAAAGGTCTTATATGAGTTACAATCGAAATAACAACCAGAGTATACCCACCATTACATACGTATTTGGTAATAAAAAAGTAATTTTGAATTGACACTTCCGCCTTATAATGTTTTTAATCTATTCATGTAAGGTATCGATAAAAATTTACACTTTGTGAAGCCGGATGCAATTATCACTTTGCCAGTGGAATAACCACTATCCGTCTTATAACAAAACTGTGCACTTTAGAGGTGAATATAAATACAGAATACAGTGTGATCACAAGTTTAGTATTATTCTACAGAAATATATACGACGGCAATCAATAATGGTAAGAATTGCACTTGCGGATAAATTTTTTTAATTGCAAAATAATAATTTTCCTTTACAGCATCTTTTCATATGCCTTCTTCTGTCCGCGACAACTACAATCATGGCGGATATCGTTTATCTAGCTCCAGAATATTTACCGCCGTTTCCATATTTTACAACCGCCTATAAAACTGCCGATAGCTCTTCATTTTTTGCATCTGATTCGAGTTCTTTCTCATCGGATTCTAGTTCTATAGAATCTGCTCGGGAAAGTTCTTTTAGTGATTTTGAAAAATTAAATGATGTTGATGCTTCGCCAAAAGACTCTAGTTCTGTTGAAAGTGCTCCGCAAAGTTTTACTAGTGATTTTGAAAAATTAATTGATGTTGATGCTCCGGCACTGGATACTTCTGGCATCGATTCATCTAGTCCCGACAATTCAATTAGTTTTTCCACCAAAATGAATGGCAACTCCAATGAAAGTTCTGAAGCCATTTCCGGAGCCGAGGATACCAGTTTTTCTATTTCTGATATTATACCTGAGCCAGGTTCATTTTTAGCCAGTTTGTCAAGAGGAGGATCGTCCTCTGCAGATTCTACAAGCAGCATTGTCTCAAGTTCGTTTGATCAGGAAGCTTCAACGTCATCTGACGATGAAAACACTGCATCAACGACCTCCGAACAAGTTAATGGTTCAATAGCTTCCTCATCTGAAGATACTGGTTTCTCGACTTCAGCAATTTTCTCGAATTCTGATTCATTAGATACAGATTCATCGGTTGCAGAAAATATATCCACATCGTCTATAAGCTCATCGGAACAGGAAGCTACCAAAACATTTGTTACAGAACAAGCATCTTCGGAAGCCGTAACATCATCTGCTACAACCGCTAACAAAAATTCCGCAAATTCGGATAACTTATCGGAGTTTTCGAGCAGATTTACTGATTCAAATATCTCACAGTCCGCAACCATATCAACTGGATCATCTTCCTCTTCCATATCGGCAAGTTCAAGTGATTCTGGATTACGGGATTCGGCTCCATCTATAACGGTATCCAGTAATTCCGACAATATTGGCACGGTATATGCTGCTGGTGGCGGTTATATTTATTAAGTTTCTTTTTGTTAATAAATACAACTGTTCTAAAGGCATTTAAAAAATCAAATGAGTTTTGTTAGTGGCTTAAATTGTTTCCTTTGGGCATCATATTTATGCAGAAGGGAATATTTTAAATAGTGTTCGGACCAAAGATCTTGAATCAACCGAAAATGCGTCGGAGACTTTATGCGTAGCGACTTTTTTAAACTTTGAGCTATATTAAAATTTTCTGCAAAAATGTGGTTTTAAAACCAAATATCCCTTAGTTTTCTGAGATGAAATTTGTTGGTTACAATATAAACCAGTGAGCGGAGCAGTATAGTCGAACGGGCGGACCATATAAAAACCTACACAACTTCCACGAAAATCTAATTTTCTGTGGTCGATATTCTAAGCTTGGGCAATATTTCGCGATATTTGCACCCCCTTGACCTACTAGAGGTCAAAAAATATTACTAATTTTCAGTACAGCTCTTCTAATTACTTGTCCAGATTACTTTCACCGTAGGTTGTGTTGTGATGTTCGGTTTTAAGTTGTGGGCTATAAATCGACAAAAAAAAACACACACACATAAAATTATGTTTTCGGTCCACTTCATCCCATTTTTATTATCTGATCATCACCGAAATTTATAGGATTCTGATGGAAAATTTGAAAGCAATTAGCGCTATATTTCCGCCCTCTAGTGTGTAAATAATATATGAATAAATATTTAATATTTAAGTGTAACTCCCACAGCAGAGTATATATATGACAATATAATTGGTATCAATTTAAAGGTCAAATACACATCTTTCCTCGGGTACACGTCATTCAGGGGTAAACATATCCGCTATAGAATACAAATTTTGTAATTTTGCATAAAAAAGTCAGGGTCCATTTGGCATGCTTATTCTTTGGCCCGATCCCCTTCCCTATGTAAAAACCAGTAAGGAAAGTAGTAAAGTCGGACTGGGCCGACTATATAATACCCTTCACCACTTTGGGTATATCCAACAGATGGAATCCTAACAGACGTCGCATTTTTGAAGGACCATTGACATGAAATTAA